CACTCATCAAAAATGCACTAGATTCTAAATCCTTGGATGCTTCTTAAGAGCTCGACTGGCTCTTTAGAATCAGACACAAAAATCAATGACATATGTCCTTGAAGAAATAAAAGCCAAAACACTTTTAGCTTTGCCAAGTGAAGATTTCGCTAAAGTGTTCCTTGGAGTGAGGTTGATATTTAGCATTCTTAAGTGAGCTGTTAAGCCCTGGTGCAATATAAATAGATGTAACTTAGTGGCTGGTGACAGGCGATTCCATTCATCTCTGTCCATCTACCCTCTCTCCATTCTGTATTATGACTAAATGGCCTCTAATAAATTCTATCAGCTTACAAGGCCTAGTAAGTGAAAATATCACCTACCAGGGCCATTAACACATCAGTGCCTTTTTGGTGGGTCAATATCTGCGTTGATGGTCTTGGAAACTACAAAGAGTTGTGAAGAATGGAAAAAAAAATTCTAAATGGTAAGTGATGTAATGCTATGGACTGAACTGTCTTCCCCTCAAATTCATCTGTATTTGGAAATGAGGCCTTTGGGGGGTAATTAGGAGTAGGTGAGGTCATGAGGGTGGGGGCAGTCATGATGGGATTAGTGCCCTTATAGAAGAGGCACCACAGAACTTGATTGCCCCCTCTGTCTCTCTCTCCACTTGCCTGAACCGAGTGAAGGCCATGTGAGGACACAGCAAGGCAGCTGTTTGCAATCAAGGATAGAGGAGCACTTACCAGACACTGAGCCTGCTGGCACCTTGATTTTGGACTTCCAGTCTCCAGAACTGTGGAAATAAATTCCCGTTGTTTAAGCCAGCCAGTCTTAAATTTTCCCTTATGGCAACCCGTGCTAAATAAGATATAGTGGAAAAACATGAAATTTAGCACCAGAAAACTTGGCTCACCTCTTGTCCTTGCTTAGCCTTTCTGTCCCTCAGTTTCCCTCAGTTTCCTCATCTGTAGAATGAATGGAGAAATAGAAATAGCTCCCCTCACTCCCAACATCACAAGATTGTCATGAGAATCCGGGGAGAGGAGCTTTATGAAAGTGCTTTGCAAAACTGCCAAAACAATTGCTATTTCGCTTTTTCTTGAAGATCCTTAGTTTAGCGATTCAAATAATGTGGTATTGGGAATCTGCCACTAAAGTTGAAATTCAAACATTGTTTAGGAAAAAAATTAAAATAAAAAAAGAAGTAGGTGAAGAGCCCTACAAAATGACTTTGTTTAAAAAGTGCTATAGCGTTGAACGCACACATGCTAATTGTTTTAAGTGAATTTTGATGGTTTGGCTGTTAAAAAGAAATCTGACCACTTTCAAAATTGTTTGAGTTCCCTTATTAGAACTCATGAAAAATTATTATAATTCTTTGTTTGTTATATGTTATATGATTATTTTATATTTTATACTCTTTACCGTATTTCCCCACGTATAAGACACACCCTTTTTTGAAAAATTTGGGGTCTATAAACTGGGTACATCTTACACAGTGGTTGTAGATTTTTTTTTTACTTGCATTTCCCGCTTTTTTTGCACTTGTTTTTGCGCTCATACAACCACTGTATAAGACACACCCAGTTTTTAGACCCCAAATTTTTTGAAAAAAGGTGTGTCTTATACATGGGGAAATATGGTATATTATTTCTATTTCGTATTCTATAGTATTCTCTATGGTATTTGGGAGCTAATTAAATTGATATACAGAATATGACAAATAATTGATTGGCAAAATAGGGAACTAAAATACTTCAGCCTAAAGTTAAAAATGATACCTAATTTTTAGGCTTGAACTTATTCTACATTATCACAAATGGCACCTGGTGGCAGTATGTGATATTTCAGCCCAGCTCTCATGGACTTTTTTGCTGACTTTAAAAAAAAATAAATAAATGTTTTAATTTAGAACAGATTTAGATTTATAGAAAAATTGGGAAGCTAGTACACAGAGTTCCTATAAATCCCACACCTAGTTTCCCTATTATTAACATCTTAACATTAGTCTAGTATATATGTTACAATTTATAAATAAGCCAATATTGGTAACTTACTACTAACTAAAGTCCATACTTTATTCAGATTTTCTTAGTTTTTACCTAATGTCCTTTTTCAGCTCCAGGATACCACATCACATTTAGTCATCATGTTTCTTTAAGCTCCTCTTGACTGTGACGGCTTTTCAGACGTTCCTTGTTTTTGATGACCTTGACAGTTTCAAGGAGTACTGGTCAGGTATTTTGTAGAATGTCCCTCAGTTGGGATTTGTCTGACTGTGGTTATGGGATTTGGGGACAAAGATTCATACAGACATTTTTATTACTTGAATTTGGGGATATGTCAGCTAATTCTCTGGCATAAGGAAAAATCTTTTGGCCTGAAGCAGCATGGTCCACAGTGGACGGCTGACAATTGGGAAAGTGCTGCAAGTACAAGAGAATCTTACAGCAACGTCTATTTTCCTCATAGGCTTAATTAATCCCAGGATGCCATGGATTGCCACAGGTCTGTCTACTGTCTTCAATTCTTCTTCCTGAGGGCTTTCAAACAATTTCCTGTAGAAAATTTTCTGTGGGAAATAGGCTTCCAGTTTTTTTTAATGGAATTTAAAGGGAAAACAGTATTCATTTTACAGAAATCCCCTTGTAAGCAGCATTACTGGATTGCATTAGATATCTGGAACCCCCATACCATCCTGAACATAACTGCATGAAAAAGAACATGGGATTTATGTGCTGAAGGGAATTCTTGTAACTCTACTGCTGACAAGCATTCCTTTACCAGCTGAAGAATCAAATTAATGGAGTTTCTCCCACACCAAGCACCTGGGATGCTATTAAAACGTGGAGTGGCAACGACAGTATCTAGAGCTAGGTCATGCTGGGACAGGCTGAAACTACAACTCAATAGAACCAAGTTTCAGTCTGAGTCCAAGAAACTGGAGGCATCCTGAAATACTCCTCCCAAGAATTCACTACCTGATTTTATTTTCCACAAAGAGTATGCTGTTAGTAAAAAGGAAAAGAATTTTTCCAAATATAGAAAAAAAAATACATTATAAAATATACATGCATATGTTGTCTGCAGTTTGTTTTTTACAGTTGATGAAAATGCCTCAATGTCTATGCGACTGTTTACTTATTTAATTGCTTTATAATCCCACAATAATCTTTATAATGATTCTGCTCTGTGCAGGTATAACAATAATAGCTCATATTTACTTAGAGTGTACCTGTGTTTTATATATTTTATCCCATTTAATCCTATCTGTTGCAGACACTGTCTTCTTCTATTACATACATGACAAAATTGAGGCTTTGAGAAGTTAAATAACTTGCCTAAGGATACACTGATAAAGTCAGAATTTGAATTCAAGACAAGGACTTTTTGGCTCCAAAGTCTTAGCTTCTACTGGATTAAACTACCTTTATGTTGGTTAATAATTTATTTCAAAATGCCTTCTGTGAGAACAAAGACCATGTCCTTTCTTTTCTTAATAGTTGGGGGGGGGTCCTCACAATTTCCATCCATATGGCACGTGTTTAGTAATATTTGAAAACAAGGAAGAAGAGGATATATTATTACTATTGATTAGCATTGTCAAGGTCAAAAAATTGAATTGTCTCATCCTGATGGACTCAAAGGTCAACAGTAAGATAAGGAAAGACCAGGCATCCAGCACCCCTGTTACCTGGAACCAGAGCTAGCGTGGCTTGAATCTTCATGCTCTAAGATATAGAGTATTAAGAGAAAATTTGAGGGATAGGAAGGCCAACAACAGATCAGGAGGCGATCGGCATTGGAAAGATAGTTTGTTACTCGTGGTTCTCAAGAGGAGGGGACCTGCCATGCCTCGGGGAACCATGCTGCTCAGTCAGGAAGCGGAGGGGGAGGGAGGAACTATGGGCAAGAGCCTTTACTATGGTTTCCACAAGAATGAATGAGCGAGCAGGGTAAACAGGTTTAGGATTCACTAGTTTGAATAATTTCAGTAGATTCTGGGGCAAAGGAGCTGTCCTTAGTTGTCTGGTACGTGGCCCTGGGGTGTTAGGGCAGGTGAAGTGTGAGAGCCTGATATAGAAGGTGGTTGAGGTATGGGCTCCGAATTGGTTGGTTTGTATTCGAAAAGGACTTGTGGGCAAGTTGTTTACTATCTCTAGGAACTGGCTGACCCTGAGAGGTGCAGTCTCTCCTGGGTCAGCAAGACCCTAAGAACATCAGAATACACAAGATAAAGAACACGGTTAATACCCTCCAGCTGGAGAATTTCTGGTTATTCTAAACTGGAAAAGGCATACAAATCTACTCATAGGCCAGGAGATGTATTCAAACCTACTTCATCCATAAAGAACTGAGATGGTTTTAATGGTCCGTAAAACAGCTCCTCATACACAGAGGAAAAACAAAACATGAAGAAAAGCAATGACAACTGGAAGATCAAGGCAACAAACTATCTGGGCCTAGATTTGTCTGGGTTGCTTTAAAAGACTTGTTACAAGCTAGTGCTTCCATCTTTACAAGATATATTTTATCGCTCAGAAAGTTTAGTGTACATAGAACATTAAAAAGTAAAGTGACAACTATTTCTCTTAAATCCACTTCATTAGCAAGCTACATTCTGTAATCTAGTCTATGAAGTACACACACACACACACACACACACACACACACTCACATACACACACTTACACACACGCACTCACACAAACAGATAGCAATAGTTTGCCTAAATGTGAGCTCAGCATCAGACACCACTCACCCCTCCCGCCAACACACACCCTTTCACACATTCTCAAGAGTCTGTGTTTAGTGGGTTCGAGTTGACATGGCTGACTGGGCCTTTTTGTTTTCCTCCAAAGCTTTGAAATACATTAAGACAAAGTAAAGTTAGACCTGCGCAGTTTGACCTCACAGCTTCCTTAATACCAGAAGCAGTATGTTCAAATCCAAGAATGCTGTTTACTCCATGAAACGTTTTACTCCTAGTCATGGCAAAATCAAACACCACATTATTTCAAGTTCCAGCAAAACATTTTATTCTCCTCATTAATGTCTCAAAACCGTTGGAAGCCCATGCCTGAACAAATCCTTTGGCAATAAATGTGGGTGTTTTACAAAAAAAGAGAAAAGAAGGTGCAAGAGGGTATATGTTTCTGTTACTCATATTTCTGAGTATTTTTTCCTTAGTAAAGTTCCCCAACCAAAGTTGAAATAAATTAAGCACAATGTCGATAGAAGTAAAAGAAGTAATCGGTAAAGAATATTCCAGCAAAATAAGGATCCGTTGAACAGTCAGCTAAATCCTGTCAGGACAGGAGAAAGAGAAAGATTAACATAAGAATTAATTGTAATTAAAGTGTTCTATTTCTTTATTTATTTATCTATTTATTTACTTAATGGTTCCTTTCTTTCTCACTGAAAAGAAAAAGAAAAAGGCTTACCGGTGCAGCTACACGGAAATGGTACGAGCTATCAAAGAACGGGGCTACAGGAAGGCTCCAAATGTGCTGGAATCCCTAAACAGTGAACAAGAGATCCATTCCATAACCATGTTTTACACTTAATTGGAAAGACTATAGGCCGAAGAAGCATTTCCTTGACTACTGTAAGAGAGGTATCTGTGACAACAGCTTTTGATAAGGATTGCCAGCATAGTCTGCAGCTCTGAAGTAGGCACAGAGGATGCTGAGAGCAAAGTCCAGCGTCAGCCAGCAAGGGGAAGCCCTGGCATGTAGCTCAAGGCGTCTCTTTCTTAGTAGGGAACAGAGGCAGTGTGACAATTCTAGACACAGTTCTTCTGGAACACGGGTGTGATGCCAGGGAGCTGGAAAACATTACCTGTGTCATCTCCTGGGAGATTTCTTGGTGGCTGTGCATCCCTTTGGCTTCCCCTTTCCTCTGGAAACATATATTTCCAAGTGTGAGTTTGCACTGGAAGACTATCAATGGCTCTGTCGTGCTTCAAGAGACAAAGGAAAGAAAGGGTCAATGGGAAAGCAGTGACCAGCTCCTACTGAGCTACAACTTGATAAGAAGAGGGACTAATGGGAACATAACTTGGAAATCCATTCAAAGTTCCAAATAAGCATTTTATTACACATAGCTCACTGATGCCAGTATGCTAGCTCACATCTCATTATTACAAAAAGAAACTCTATCTCAGGTGATGACTGCTATGGACGGAATGTTTGTCTGACCAAATTCGTATCTTGCAATCCTAACCTCCAGTGTGATGGTGTTAGGAGGTAGAGCCTTTTGTGATTAGGCCATAGGGTGGAGCCCTTGTGAATGGAATTAGGGCCCTTATAAAAAGGACCCCAGAGAGCTCTCTCACCCTGTCTGCCATGTGAGGACACAAAGAGATGACTATTTGTGAACCAGGAGGCATAGCCTCAGTAGATACCAAAGCTGCCGGCACCTTGATCTTGGACTTCCTATCCTCCAGAACTGTGAAAAATAAATGTTTGTTATTGAAGCCACCCAGTCTGTGGTATTTTTGCTACAGCAGCCTGAACTGACTAAAACAGCTACCAAGATAGCATATGACAGTCTCTAAAACCTAATAACTTAAATCACCTCAATATCAGAACTTCTTATCGCCATAGATTTTTAAATGATTTTTAGATACATTCCTTCTCTTTTCACCTCAGCTGAATTTGCGTCTATCTGAAGTTTGCAGAATTTCAGATTTTGCAAAATCCTGGTCTGGGTGGATACTGTTTGAAGCAGCAAGGCTAACCAACACAGGTAGGGATGTGGGGTGAGCCCCATTAGCAATCACCAGCCTGTAAAGCCATCAGAGTGGAAGCCCTGCCACAAAGAATGGTTCTTCTCTGGAGGTTGGCCTATTAATCATCTTCAAAAGGATGAGCTTCATCTGTCATTGGAAACAATCTTTTTGCACAAGGGAGACAGCCTACAATTTCAGTTGAGTAGCTGAGATTTTTATTACTTGAAAATTGCCCACGTTAGAAAAATGGCTGACCTAGTGGCTCAAGATGAACTTGTGGCACTTCAGGGGATATACTGTTTAAGCTTATCTCCCTCCAGTGAAGCTAGGAATGGATGAGGAAATGTTATTTCAGGTTACTCGGGTAGTGCTAGAGAATGGTAGTACACTTAACTCGGAAGACTAGTACATGTGGCTTTTGCTCTGCCTTGAAATATGTGGGCTCTGAGTCATGAAACATTAGCTGCTTGAAACAAACCTTTCCAAAGCAGAGCAGTTGGGTTGAGAGTCCATAGCTCATTGTAGAAACGAAGTTAATGAGAGAAGGC